ATTGAAATTATTATTATTATTCTAACCTAAATTATCTTAATCTTGTTTTTCTTGCTGTATATTGTGTATTGTGTATAGGGGTTTATTGTTGTATGTAAAGCATTTTTTAAATATGCAAATATATTTGACTTAAAAGCAATAAAAAATGTTTCAACTGGGCTCTAATCAAATACCAGTCAAGTGATTAAAATTACAAACTTACAGTGGATTGTAATTTTCAAAACCAAATAAAAGCAGTAGTTCTGACAATAGTTTGTTTTAGTATCCGGATACCATCAGCCCTTCCAGTTTCTTCCACTAAGGTCTCCTCAGTTTCAGTAGTGGAACGTAACAAAGTAAAAGTAGTATAATTTTTAGGTATCTGTACTTTAAGTAAATTTTAAATTTTAAAGTGGATACTTTTTACTTTTACTTGCTGCATTTGAGAATAGTTATCTGTACATTCTACTTCACTACATTTTTGAACAGGACTGAAATGTTAAAGTATTTTTTATTATTGTGTGAGACACATTTGTAGTTTAAGAAAAACAAAAATATACAAATAAAATAGGAAGAAAAAAACAATTCAGTTGTTTCTGTTTAACAAAATACAGCACAAATCTCCATAAAAAACAGTTCATGTGAAGCTTTATTAGATCTCAAAATCTGCATACTTTTACTTTTTACTCTTAAAGTACATTTTTAAACAGCTACATAAATACTTTTATTTACATAGATTTTTTTTTTCATGTTATACTTTTACTTTAGTATTTTTTGCATCACTATCTGTACTACTTGTACTTCAGCAACAAAACTGAGTACTTGTTCCATCACTGCTCAGTTAATTTCCTATAAATATCACAGATAATGACTAACTGGTTACAGCTACAGACGTACTTTCCCTTTCTTTTATTGTGTGTTGATTTTGTGTTTAGTAGCAGAGCTGAGCCCACGCCGCACAAGATACAACACAGAAGAGTTGTGCGTACATGCTGAAGTATTAAGTTGGACTACAGTGAGCCGACCAGAGTTCAAAGGCTTCCGTGTGGACAGATGCGGAGCTTTCTCACAAAAATCCAGTTTACATAACACCACATTGAATGGAGAAAAGCCAGATCTCAATGTTATGTGTTATCACTAAGGCCTGGAGGTTCTCAGCTCTCAACTGGAACCAGGAGTAACACTGCCTGACTCACTCCCAAAGTCCATTGTATTTGTCATAGCCCCTGTTACTGCTGTCTGCCCCAGGCAGCACAACAAACCCAAGTGTGAAAGCGTAGTCTGATTTAAACTGGTCTTTCTACTACTGCAAGAAAACTGACTTTATAGAAGACATGCTTTTAAACAATAACTCATGTAGATTTTTACTTTTATTGTAAACCACATTATTGGTCTAAAATGGCTTAAAAAACACACAACTGACTTCTGCTTTCAGTTACTTATTATTATTACTTACTTTCATTGCTGACTTTTCTGAGCTCACAGTGCCTTTACCTGACCAGCCAGCAGCACACATTTTGACAAAACTTTGCAAAAATGAGTTAATCTGGAGCTGTATTTCAGAGGGCGTGATTGACAGGCAGATTAACCAATCAGAGAGATGCATGCTTTGTTTGCCTCAAAAACAAACATCTACAGAAAGGACAGAGAGACAGCGTGGATTTTTACACAGTCAACAATCGAAACACCAAACTATTCCTCCTTTCAGGTAAAAGAAGTTATATAGTTTGTGTTATGAGAATTTTCAAGAGGAAATGTCTTCCGCTTTTGAGGTACACATGCTTCAAATTAGTGGCTGTGGTTGGATAATCTAAAATTTGGACAGCGTTTTTTCACACTCTGTGGTCCCGTTCCAGTCCCGTGTGGATTCAAACAGAATGTAGAAGGAACTGGCAGCTCAGGCAGCAAATGCAGGACACGCAAACAAGATTATACAAACATATATGAATCAATCAAAATACAACAAGTAAATTAACGATGAGGGAACAATTTTGCATATGTTTTCTTTAATAAAACTAGTAGATGTTATACTAAAGTGGATATATTTGTTGTAGTGTCAAACAAGATGGTGTGTGTGATACAACAGAAGGTAAGCTAATCTCTGTTATGCATGTCTACATTTTCAGAGCGGAGTTTGAGTATGCGTCCTACACCTCATCTGTTTGTATTTATAATCTGTGAACTGCATGTTCCAAGTGTGGGCACGCACTGTTCACTATGTCTTTGGAACAAAAGCATATGAAGAATGCCTCTAAATTACAAACCCATGATCATGTTCAAATTCTAACACAATTGTAACACTCAAAAAGGTTTACAGACACGACCAACACAGCCATATCTTTATCTATATAATATAATGAGAGCGTATGTAGGTTTAGTGTGAGATGCTCAGATGTGTAAAGTCCTTTTAGCGCGTGGTGACAGCTGGTGACAAACGTCTTATTTTACTCTGCCACAATATTTAGCTCTACCAGGCTCAGTACGGCGAACACGAGAAACGGCTTCTACTAAAGAACTGATACAAGATTATACCTTTAAAGCAGCACCGTGTAACTCCATCTGGTGAAAGTATGGCATTAAACTCATATATCATTAATCAATTATACATATTTTTATTGCTCACAAACACCTTGCAAATACTGTGAGTGGGGTCACCTCTCCATAGATCTAACCTGTAAGTTGGCCTGGTGGCATCACCAGATTGTCTCCAGGGAGATAGATGAGTTTAATGGAATAATGTGAAACATTCCAGGCAAAGCAAAAACATCTCCATAAGAGTAATGAATAATGAAACAAGCAGGTGGTGGACCCTCCACCAGAAACAGTGCATAGTTCACCTTTAAGTGAATATTGCAGCAATGATAATTAATAATAATAAAGCAATGGATTTATGTAGCACTTTTCAGAGTAGGTGAAACGCTTAACATTGCAGTATTTATTCACTAAAGACACAGACGCAGTAAGCTACTTCTGTAGCCACAGCTGCCCAGGGGCAGACTGACAGAAGTGACACCGCTAATCTTAATCACACGGACACACACACACACACACACACACACACACACACGCAGACACGCACACAACTTTCATACATAGACATAGATATTACTGTGATGGCATTTTAATTTTTATCTGAAAAGGGGGAACAACGATCCACTGAGCCTTTTTGTGGTATCGAACAGCAGACGTGTGCCAAGATAAGTTATGCTGATTTTGAAAAGTGTAATTACTGTACATAGGATGATTTTGTTGTATTATTCTATGTTTGCATGCTATTTGTCATTGTTCTAAATGCTCCAGCATCAACTAAATCTTTTACACTTTTGATCAGATTATAACTATATAATTGTCATTGTAAACTGCTGCATGATGCCCAGAGTACACCTAATAAAATCATCCTTGTGTTATATATATTTTTAAGTATAGTTTGACCTATCTTTGCCCTTGCCTGCTTTCTTCTCTTCTCTCCCTCTCCCTCTCTGCTCCCTACTCCTCACTATAGGCCCTCTGACCTGCTCCTAGCCACTGCCTGGTCTCCTCTGTCTCCAGTGCTCCACAGTGGCTCCACAGTGGCTCCACAGTGGCTGCCCGTGAACCCATCAAACAGTGGGAGTTTTCCACACAGCAGATGTTGTGGATGGATGGAGGGGGGTGGAGAGAAGCACTCAGACTTCAGATGTACCATAGGGCGGCCTGCACCTGTCTCATCCACATCAAACCATCAACAATATTCTGGATCCTCTCTAATCAGCTTTGTCAGGTGTTACATATATGCACATTTTTACAGTTTCATTTGCATATTATTATTCAGATTTACTGTTTTCTAAAATTATTTCTAGGACTCTTGATTAATTAGTCTGTTGCATCATATTTTGGGGTGTATTGATGTAAAATATAGTCTCACTTATAAATTACATACAAATTAAATAATTTGTAAAGCAAAAATCTTGCTCCACGCCACTGTTTTTAATTAAAAAATACCCTAAAATGCTTTATATAAAATAAAATGACGCGGAATAGCTCTGTACTGTATTGAATCTGTAAATCAAAATTATGAACGTACATCAAAAAATATGAATTCAGTGCTTAAACCTTAGCGTTAAATATTCCTCATTCATAATTATAAAATAAGTAATACATATTTATTTCAATAATGAGGGATTACATTGTCAAACCTCTTCATTTTTTACTTTTGAGTGAATTTTCTACACAGAACAGTAGCTCTGATCACTGTCTGTGTCAATGTTATGCCTTAATGACAATCTTAATTGTCTTTGCCATAAGTCAGAAGCATGTACATTTTTTGCTTTACTACTTACAACAACGATAAACAAATCCTGGTACTTTTTTTTTTCAGTTACTCATCACTACAGCTTGTTTACGTTACTGTCACGCTAATTAATTCACACTGCCAATAATAAAGGATAAGTAGCAAAACATAACGGCAACACCCTGGGGAGCTAGCAGCATAATTACACAATAGTTTAATTTGCAAAAGACGCGTAATAATTAACACTGCGCAATCATGTGCATAAAGACTTGAGGGGACTCTTCCAAACAGTTGACACATCAAACGAATGTAAAAGCGCATCTAAGACTTGAGAAAATAAAGATGTTGAGAGGATGAAAGAGGGGCGCACTGCAGGCAACGTGAGTGAATGAGAAAGCACAGCAAGTCTCATTAAGTACTCATAGTATAGGAATATATAAATGTATAAATACTGGGTAAAAAAAAATAAAACAAAAAGAGTAGAGGGAATAGTGGAGGAGCTGCCCATGGTACTGAAAATGCAACGCTATAGGAGCTGTCCGTGGTGCTGAAAATAAACCCACTGCATCTGGCGCCCTCTGCACACGGTCCTCATGCAGGTATTGATTAATTATGATTGGCTGGAGGGAGATGGCGACTTGGGTTCCTCTCTTACTCTTCACGGAGCTATACCTACCACCTCCCCGCACTGCACTACATTTAGAAACAAGTGAAATATGAGTTCAGTGTGTGGCAAAGCGAGAAGGGCTACCTCTATGGTTTGGCGGTTGTAGACCTTGACGACGTGGAAGTTAAAACTGTAAATCCCTTTGCGTGGTGCGATGAAATTACTTCTCTCTTCGTCAAAGTTTTTGCCGACGTTGACGAGGACCTGCAGGAGAAATGAGACAAGAAGCGAGAAGGTGGCATTTGTGAAAAAACAAACAAACAAACTGTGTTATCATAAATTAAAAACAAAAGTTGTCAACATTTTAATAGTTGAACCACTGTGATCACGCGTAAAGAAATGTGTGTAAATATATTTAAGTTACAAATATTGCTTTGACTAAATAAAAGACTTGATTAATTAATAAAACAAAGTGCGCCCCTCCCACGCCGCATTGTTACATATTAATGTGCAGGAATAGTTTCATGGCCAGTCAGATGTACGCGCACCTTCCCCTGTAAGGCATTGGTCCCGCAGTGCACGCTCTGATTTACTGATGTGCAACAATAACCGCTGCTTTTATCTGTCTTTTCCCCTGTCACAAGCGCCAAACTTTACGCGGAATCACAGATAACTTCGTCAGCTTTTAACGTGGAATTTTCCATCTTGCCTCGCGCCGGTTAAATGTCTTCTTTATGGACCTGAACACACCGGAGCGTAATTGAACGACAGTTAGAGACAGAATTAACCTTTACCGGCGCGCGGATTGGCGTTCACCCTCGCGACCTATCTTTACTAAATTACCCTGGAAAGCTGTCGTTCAGTCCCTTTACCCCGTTACCCTCTCATAACGCCCTTTTTGCTCATCTTAATTACAAAGAACACGCCGCCTCCTTTTTGGAATGCCTTAAGGTGCGCAAGAGCTGTAGGCCTAATTGTATTGTGAGGAGAGCAACGAATTAAATTATAGTCTGTTATGTAGGGGGATAAAAGGTTTCGATCGCTAATATGCTCACTGCACTCGCCAACTTTTAAAGTGCACAATGCACCGCAGCACAGAAAGTTTTGTGCAAAATAGAACGGGCAGAAAGTAAAAGACACGTTTGGCAAACAGTGAAACCGATTAAACACAGAGAATAGAAAAGTTGCCTACCCGGTCAAAATAGATGACCCTAGTGCGGTTGCTCATCTCGGAGGGTTCGTGGTTGGTGTTGCGCACCGCAGAGAAGGCCACTTTGGCACTGCCCGAGCGCACGGAGATGCCCAGCGCCGTGCCCGTGGGGTCGGAGGTGGGGTTGGAGTCGCACACCACGAGGCATTTCCCCTCCAGGACTATGGGCTCCGTGTCGTTCTGCGCACGGGTCGGACTGGCCGCGAGCCATACGGCACCAAGCAGGCATAGCACCAACATGCTGGAGGACACACTTCACCGGGCTCACGTGAACAGCGCTCCGCTTTCTCTGAACAGCAGCAAGACTTTCCCGCGCTCCTCGCTCTGCCGCTAACTTGCTTGAAGCAGTCGCTTACCGTCAACTCTTTCTCCCGCACGGACTCTGACAAAAGCACCGAGCACAGCTTTAGTCTTATCTTTTTTCCCGCTTATGACAAAAATCAGCTGCTCGCCCGGATCTGTCTGTGGCAGGTTTTCACTTCTCACCAGCGTCTGTGTGACTTGGAGACACGAGGAGCGGCAGTAGCGCGCGGTGGCGGTGTGACGCGGCAGCACAAGTCATAGCGCGCCGGGAGCTCCGTCTGCTCTCTCTCGCGCGCTTCAATTATTCATATGTGAGAGATGAGGCTCTGAACACAAAGGGCCGGGCGCGTGCCCCTCGTGTGTGTGTTTTCTCCACCTCCAGCCCCTCCCTCCTGGTAACGCAGACCTATCAACGGATTAACTCGGGCGCAGCACCGGTACTTTCCAATCAGTGCGCGGTGAACGCCCTCCCCGCCCCATGGATCACACTCACTAGCTCTCTCCTGAGTGGGTGAAGAGGCACAAAGCAAGAGCTCAAAAGCGACAAAAGTATATTTTGAATGACATTTTCCTCTCGTTTGTGACATACTGCAGTATGTTTATGGGGGTATGACTTTGCATTCCTTTATGTCCTTTTGTTCTTATGCTGTTTCTTTCAAAGAAAAAGTAAAAATATCATAGGTGAGTCAATTAGGTCTACAGATCAGAGGTGTGACAGACATAGTGTGAATATTGCTCTGTCCTGTCCATGTACAATGGCTAGATCAGAATCCTCACTGCTCTATTCAGAGTTGTTAACTTGTGAACTTGTTAACTCTCCTTGAGCTTAGGTCTGGGCAGCCTGCAAGCAGATCATAGTGAACTTAAATAGTTAGAATCAAATGAAATGCAGTAAAACTGAGAGCACCAAATAAGTATGAATGGGTTACAGTTCAATGTTGTCTTTAATGTGGCTGAGGTTTCAAACAAAAAATAAATAAAAAGTGTTTTATCATTGAATTTCCTTTAGAACATGTCAGTGTTTCTATAAAGGTCCAATTTTAACCAGTTAGAGTTGTGCAGAGGGGGGCACTTTGTTGTAAGAGCTCGCTAAATCTGTGCTGTGACTACAGTCTGAGCAGTTGTTTAGTATTTTCATTGTATGTTTTTGGCTAAATTATAATGTTTTCTGTGTTCTTTTCATCTTTACTGAAACATTTAGTTCAGCCTTTGCCTCCAACATGTTTTCAACACTTTCTTTGTCCACAAGTTTTATACGTACGACTGCTGTTACTTTAATCCAGGTGCCACATTACGACTCCAATCAACTCAGAAACATAATATAAATGTGCTCGAATCTGGGGGGAAAAAAATCACACTTCTTGATTAGACGGCATGAAAGAGGAACACTTCTGTTAACGTATTTGACATGTCTTTATGATTCATGACTTTTGATAATTCTGAAGATACTAAGACCTCATTTATTACGATTGCTGGTTGAGTATGATTATGTGATACTAACAGAGGTGGTGAAGAGGGACATTTCCCTATTTATATCATGGTATTCCCAAAAGAAATATCCAAAAGGAAATCCACAACCTGATTTTTTCTACTGATACTCTGCAGGTGATGTCACGTTCCCAGGGTGTGATGCTAACTGTAGGCTCTGTTCTGTCTGATATGTGCATTATTTTAATAATCTGTGTATTATTTTTAAAACAAGTTGACCATAAAGAACTGATTTACTTGAAACTACAACAGGTGACCAGATTTTTACAGTTAAACAAGTCTCTCACACATACAATTACAGTCAGTTTTTTAGATAGTAACACTCACCATTTCTGTTGAAAATTAAACAGTTTTCAGACGATCTTAAAACTTTTTTGGCAATGTTTGTTTGCTGAAACTGAATAAAAAAGTATTCAAAATCAGTAAAACATATATACTGATATTTTTGTTAACTTATAAAAACTAGACAAATATAAATGAAAGGATCAAATGAACCAAGTTCCAATTTTCAATTACAGTAACAATAACGTTTGCCGTATAGAATGATGTCATCTGTGATATCCATTTTGCTGATTAACTGAGCAGAAACTCAGCGACGGAAGAAATATATGCATAAGAATCATGTCTGGCCCCATCTCTGATAAGAACACAGGTACGATGTAATAAAATATGAACGATGGAGTGTTCATCTGCATGTCCTCCCTGCAGACTCACTTATGTTGATTATTGTTTCTAGCTCTTGGCACCTTTCTCACGTCAGATATTTTATTAGTCCTCTCTCTCTCTCTCTCTTTGCTTTCCTTTGGGCTCATCACCTCACATGTCTTCTTCGTCTTCGTGCTCTGCTTGTGCTTGTGTCTGTGTGTCCCGGGGGTTTCCTTCAGTGTGTGATCCAGGCTGACTCTGAGTGACGGCCCAAAAGGACTGCTCTTAGAACCAGAGAACAGGCACGAGGCTGAGCTGCTCCCCCACCGCTCTGTCACATGCTACAGCCAGGAGAATACACATCCATGAGAATACACATCCAGGAGAATACACATCCATGAGAATACACATCCAGAGAATACACATCCATGAGAATACACATCCATGAGAATACACATCCATGAGAATACACATCCAGAAGAATACACATCCATGAGAATACACATCCATGAGAATACACATCCATGAGAATACACATCCAGAGAATACACATCCATGAGAATACACATCCATGAGAATACACATCCATGAGAATCCATGAGAATACACATCCAGAGAATACACATCCATGAGAATACACATCCAGAGAATATCCATACACATCCAGAGAATACACATCCATGAGAATACACATCCATGAGAATACACATCCATGAAGAATACACATCCAGAATACACATCCATGAGAATACACATCCAGAAGAATACACATCCATGAGATGAGAATACACATCCAGAGAATACACATCCAGAAGAATACACACACATCCAGAGAATACACATAGAATACACATCCATGAGAATACACATCCATGAGAATCACAAGAATACACATCCAGAATACACATGAGAATACACATCCATGAGAATACACATCCAGACATCCATGAGAATACACATCCATGAGAATACACATCCATGAGAATACAAGAATACACATCCATGAGAATACACATCCATGAGAATACACATCCAGAATACACATCCATGAGAATACACATCCAGAAGAATACACATCCATGAGAATACACATCCATGAGAATACACATCCAGGAGAATACACATCCATGAGAATACACACAGAATACACATCCAGAATACATCCATGAGAATACACATCCATGAGAATACACATCCATGAAGAATACACATCCATGAGAATACATCCATGAGAATACACATCCATGAGAATACACATCCAGAGAATACACATCCAGAAGAATACACATCCATGAGACATCCATGAGAATACACATCCAGAGAATACACATCCATGAGAATACACATCCATGAGAATACACATCCATGAGAATACACATCCAGAGAATACACATCCATGAGAATACACATCCAGAGAATACACATCCAAGAATACACATCCAGAAGAATACACATCCATGAGAATACACATCCATGAGAATACACATCCAGAAGAATACACATCCAGAAGAATACACATCCAGAAGAATACACATCCATGAGAATACACATCCAGAAGAATACACATCCAGAATACACATCCATGAGAATACACATCCATACACATCCATGAGAATACAATCACAGAATACACATCCAGAGAATACACATCCATGAGAATACACATCCATGAGAATACACATCCAGAGAATACACATCCATGAGAATACACATCCATGAGAATCCAGAATACACATCCAGAAGAATACACCATGAGAATACACACAGAAGAATACACATCATGAGAATACACATCCAGAGAATACACATCCAGAAGAATACACATCCATGAGAATACACATCAGAAGAATACACATCCATGAAGAAACACATCCAGAAGAATACACATCCATGAGAATACACATCCATGAGAATACACATCCAGAAGAATACACATCCTGAGAATACACATCAAGAAGAATACACATCAAGAAGAATACACATCCAGAAGAATACACATCTGATTCTTCTCTACAACTACTGTACCTGAGCACAACTGGATATTTTTGAAATTACAGGACAAAAACATTTCTCTTGTGGACTTTAAATATCTTCTTCCTTAACTTTTTTTTTTACAAATGAAGACAATATTTTATTTTGTGCTGTATAAAGAAGTGAACTAATAGCATTCCAGTCAAATGAAGCTCACAGAGGCTGGCTAATTTAAAGCCAAATTCCATATTAGGAATAGGAATTTATTAATGGTCAAAAAAACAACAAAAGAAAAAACACCAGGCTGTATAGCGGGTTAATATGAACATTTTAAGACCAAAAAGAGGAGCCTTACAGCAGCAGTTACAGAGAGAGGAGTGACTTTTTTTTTTTTCAGCATAAAATTGGATCAGGAGTCGATGGAGCTGGAGGCACGCCCATGCTTATTTCCTATTTGGGTTGCGGCAGCTAGTAGGTTAGATATGTCCATTTATATTTTCAGTCTACAGTATGAACATGGATACCTAGATACCTAACTAGTGTCTGTTTTGTTTCATTATTTTTGTTACAGAAGCTTGGTGTAGAGACACTACCCTACTACATCAAAACGAGTTAGGAAAAGATGAAGCATTATGTCTCTTGGTTGAAAAAAAATTTGTTAGATTAGAACAGATGATGAAGGTGATGAAGAATTTCTTTTCATCACCTTATTTCCTTGAATAATCAGTGCAGCAACCCCTACCGTTGCATTTCTTGCTTTATAATTTAAAGCACCCATATTGCACTGCTTTCTGATCTAGGTTATAATGTCGTTTCCTCGTCACAAACATACCTGGAGTTGTGGTTTGCTTCATCTCCACATGTTTAACACAAATCCTGCATATTTAGAATGAGTTCTCTCAAGCAGAAACTCTGTTCCACCTTGTGATGTCATGAGATAATACAGGAAGTACTTCACTTTTGTTTTAAACTCCATACAACTTCACTAGAAACATCTGGATGATTTTAGACCTGGAATTGCCAATCTCTACTGAACAAAAGGTAAAAAATAATTTGAAAGCTACCGCTTCATGACATCATAAGGTGGAACAGAGCATTTTGAGCTTTGGAGATGTCGACAGACTAATAATAAA